AGTCACCGTTGCCTCCGGAAACAAGGAGATATCAAGAGGAAGAAATTAACCTCTTAATCTAAAATTGAGGTCCGCGATCAAAGTATAATACGGGAAAGGTTCACAAGGGTCGCGCGGGCATATTCCATTCAGCACGCCAGCCGGTCGTGGGCAGACGGTCGCCGAGTCGCGGAGTGCCTGCTAGGCCTAACTGCCGTACTCGCTTGGTTGTGTTCGGTGGAATCGTAGCCGTTGGAGCTTTCCCCGGGTGTTTGTGGATCCTGTGTTCTTGTTCGTCGTGGTCTGTTTCAAGTACTTTTTACTTTTTTTTTGCTGCTTGAAGTCGGGACGCGTGAGAAGCGCATGTAGAAAAATAAACGTCCGTGGGTCGTCGCGACCGCGACGCTGTCGGCCATGCTGATTTGATCGTAACAAGAGCGTAAGACAGCTTCGGAGCTGTCGTAGGATTTCGTCGTAACCTGCGCAAAACTTCCGAAAATTTCATTTCGTGAATACGAATTTGTTCTTAAGTTTTGTCTTACGCACATTTTTGGCGTAATATCGTTTCGTGAATCTGGCCTCTGCCCTTCCGAATGTCGCAAGAAAGGTAAGCCAGACGCAGACGACGTTGCGAGCAGACGACGTTGCAAAGGAGCAGACGACGCTCAGATAGGGGGTCGCGACCAGCCAATCGGGGCTCGGCGTTCTGACGTCACCGCTACCCCCTGCGCAAGAAGCAGACGAACTTGCCCTCCGCATAACCTCCCTCATGACGTCCTTGGTTGCTTGAGAGTGGCCGTGAACTAGAGGAGAACTAGTGAGCTCATCCAGCGCTCACGGCTGCCGCACTCCGAGTCGATGGCGCGAGAGGGCGCCACTAAAGCGTGTTCTGGATAGGCTGTATGCAGGGGGCGGCCACAGCGGCTCTCATTGCATTTGCTGCGCGATTAAATACTAATTCGGCATGACATTTCATTGGCCACAAACGAGAGCAAACACGCGGTAAAGATCAGTTCAGAATGGAAGCTACTTTGCGCTGCCATACCGCGAAACGGCCAAACCGCAAGACAAAGCTTCTCGCCGAAGGCCTTCGGAACGCTCGGAGCCCGTCGGATCCTCCTACCCGAACGACCGCAGCGCTGCCGCGTACATCCAGGACCTTTCCGTGTCGGCGCCTGATCCCACTACTCCTTTCTAGTATGCGCCGCCTTTTCCACCGCTTGGTGGCGGATATGTCGACGGGTCATTTCTTGTTTCCGTACTTAACGAACTGCATTCGTTTTGTTTTTTTATCTAAAATACTGAACAAAAACTACTTTTAAAATAACTGAAACGGTTCGCGCCAATTGTATTTTGTGTTTCGACTAAAAAGAAGCTTTTAGCGGCTCTGACCAGTAGTAAGCCCAGGACCAAAGACGTCACATTTTGCGCGCTTTCGGTACCGCGGGTCGCCCTCGTCGGTGGAGGAGGTTTCCGCGCCGTCCGGTTAAAATATGACGCACTGATATTTAGTTACTCTCTCCGTGCCCGCTGGCTTTCCCGAACCCCAAGAGACGTGGAAACCGCAAAAAATGTGGACGCTTAAATATGATTGCAGGGCCCCTTTGAGAAACCGAAATTTTCCGGTCGATTTAAAGAGGCTGCCGTCTCCTTGAATCACCCAGTAGGTGCCGTTTTCGCGCTTCGAACTGATGATGTCAGCTCGCTCCACTGGGCTGTGTTCCAAAATTTACTCGATCCGACTCCGGAGTAAAGATTTCGTACCGTGGCGTTCCAAAACTTACTCGAGCTCACTCGATGACGTCAAAACTCCCGTTCCAGAAGCGGGTTGTTTACTCCGGAGTAATTACTCACGCTACCCTCCTCGATCGGGGGGTAACGTCGGATCAAAGCGAGTAAATACGTCACGTGATCTGTTCGTCGTCTGCTTTCTGCGCCGACAGCCGTCAAAGCTCGCTTGCTCCGTTGGTTTTGGTGGCTGACGTTCGAAATGACAAAGAATGAGGTGCAGCATGTGTGGTTATTGCGATTTGCTGTTTTCAACGCACGAATTGACTGCATTACATCCAGACCGTGCACCTTCCCCGGGAAGGTATACTTGTTATTATCAGAGTGCGAGCGTAAACAGGAGCTTCTCCGCATTCTCGTCCTCGGCGTTGGAGAGAATGTCGTATTCTCACGTTCAAGGCTGAAAATATTTGAACGCAGTAAATGATAAGGTAGTATTTTTTTGTTTTCTCTAGAGTGTGTGTAGTGAGAGGATAACGCTCGCAAAGCGGTGAAGGCTTCAAAGATTTTATCGTAATCATATTCGCGTCAAAGTTTTATATCATTCTTGAGAAAGCACCCTCGCGCTGCACCACTACACCGTGTGGAATCAATTTCTGCAAAACATGATCAATGCAAATTACAATGCGTGGAATATATGCGTTTAGGGCAATCGCGCAGACTAATAAAACACTTTTTTAATGTCTAACTGTAAGGAGTAGGTAATTTTTATTTCAATATACAGCTCAAAAAGAAGGTGAGTAAAAGGAGCTGGTGAATCCGCCTCAAAAAACACCGCGTCGTCATAATTATTATCGTCTCTTCGAGTGCTTTCCTGATGATCAAAAAGATCGTCTGCTATTTTCTGCCATCGCTGCTGTGGTTTCTTTTTGTCGTAGCCCAAGACAAAGCCAATCCGCATAGTATCCAGGTAATTAACCCGGCCGTTCCAAAATCGAGTCGCGGATCGTTTACTCGCGATGTCACGTGGTATTACCCGCTGACGTAGGAGGCAGGTTACTCGGGTAAGATTTGGAACATAGCCAGTTAGTGCTTTCGCACTGAAAAGCCTTGAAACTCCTTCACTACCCCGCGGAAACGGTGATAGCGAAACTGAAATGTTGCGAGTGACTCCTCCGAAACTGAAATGTTGCGAGTACTCCTTCGAAAAAGGCAGCGCGGAGACCTACTCCCAACGTTACCCTACTCCGGACCCGAGCTCCGTGTTGTTGTAGGCGTTGTAGTGAAAATAGGGGGGGGGGGGGGGGGGGGGGGGGGAAGGGGAAGGGGAGGGGGGGGGGGAGGGGTAGGTAGGGGAAGGGCCGTCAATTCCCTACAGATCGGTTGGAGCCACTGTGGTTGGAGCCGCTCGGCCCCGGAGAGGTACTTGCATCTCGCGAGTAATCTCTTCGTGTGCCGGACGGAGCCGACGTTTCAGTTTCGATTTCTGCTCGTGTTTAAAATTAGGTTTAAACATATATGTCCCATTTTTCGCGAAGCAAATGACGTAGTTTCTTTACCAGTGCTTTTTAATGCTAAATCACTCATTATCCTGAAATCTTTGGAATAGACTACTTCCATAAAGCCCTGCATGCAACACGGCGCGCGTTGCACTCTGGGAACTAGTTGGCCAGGGAGGAGGGTGGCATGGTTTCGGTTTCGATCGACACGTCGACAAGAGATGGTTTTCTGGTCCCGAGAGCGCCATTTGTGGTCTCTAAACTAACCTAAATGGCCAGGCCTCGAAACTTTAGCACAAGCCTGAGACTTACAGCTTGTCTTAACACATGCTTGTTGTATTTTTGTACTTGAGCCTTCCTGTTAGCGTTCCAATCGAGGTATGTGGGCGAGCCAGTGCTGGGAATCTCGACGCTGCGAAGTTCGGGGATCTTGCTTGTATACGAATCAACAAGCTGTAGCAACCAATAAGTATGCATACATCAAGCTCGCGCCTTTACATTAGTGTTGTTGATCAGGAAGTTTGTTTGTTTCGTACCTCCATAGACGAAATGTTACTTTTTGCAATTACTGTATTTCTTAATATGCCTGAGTATGCGAGGTAAAACTCGGAGGCACCACTGAAAAGCTCAATTTTGACACACTTCTTATCTCTTATCTGTACTGACCTGCAGCACTGCACGAAGTGAAGTCCCCACCCGCTTGCATTCCATTAATATTCAACATCGCGTATGCACATAAAGTTATCCTGCAATCATATAGGCAAATTCGCACATACAGACCGTTTTGAAAAAGCAAAAGTCGAGCACTTGTGTGAAGAGTGTCGCACCGTTCCCCGGAAGTGCGACGGACGGGCATGAACCCCTATGCGCACCGCATAGGGGTTCATGCCCGTCCGGCGCACGGTGCGACATTCTGTGCTCGAACGAATTCAAAGCGCGTTTGACGGTTGCTAATGGCCATAATATTTGTTTTGTTTGTTTTTTCTCCTGTCTGAGTATGCCGAGATAATTTCAGACGCACCGTTCAGGCGCAGATCTTGGGCGTCAGTAAAAGCTCGTCCAAAAAAGCTTAGCGAGGAGTAGGGGACGCTTGTTAGGGCCTCCGTCGTAGCTAGCCGATCTCAGCATTTGCGAGAAATTAATCTTCTACCAGCATAAAATTCGAGTGGGAGATATATGATGACACGAGGAAGACATCATAGTAACTTTTGTGCAGTAGTTAGGTCGAATTTATTGCGTTTCCTTAAAAGTTCATGCGTAAGCGCTGGACTCAACTTTGATACCCTGTGAGGATGCGGCTTTCTTTTCGCCCAATGAAGTAACAAGAAACGGACGTTTGGCAAACAAAATACGTGTAAGGCTCCAGATGAACAAATTTCAGTTCTAGTTCAGTGGTACTAGACGGGATTATTGAAATTGAGCTCAAACATGCACTCGTAGGGTGAGGTGACTAAGCCACGTCTTACTACGTTCGCATACGGACGCACAATATCCGGTGTTTCGGGAAGCAAGGAAAGTGCCCCGGTCTTCGTTTTGTATCGCTCGAGAATGAGTCTATTGTACGTTCGTGAAAAGTCAGATAATCGAAAACGCAAGCAGCGCGTTCGGTCGCGGAGTGATAGCATAAGGTGAAGCTGCTCAGTCGAAACCGAAACTGAGTGGCCAACTAGTTCCCAGGGTGCACTGCGTGGAATTTCGCCGCAATGGGGCGCGTCGGTTTTGGAAGTAGTCTATTGAGGGGAGCTGCACTTCAAGACTCTAGAGTGTAGGTGGCGCCTCCAGAGCCTCAATTGGCTCTGACCATTATCCATCCATCCACCTGTTTGTTGCCTTGGTGATTTGTGCGGCATTTTCAGTTGCGGCCGTTTTCCTCCTAGTTTCGCAGGTTTTGCCATTTTTCGCGTTACTTCCCGGTGTCTACTTCGGTCTCAAGCATCCTTCGGGGTCTCTTCGTGTTGCGCCAAGAACGCCGAGAACCAAGTCGAGTGGCAGCATGGCCGTCAAAGTGGTCGTCGAGGCTGACAAACCAGCGCTGCTGTCCCGTCTCCGTGTCCTGATTCAACAAGTGGCCGACGGTGTGCCGGCCGGCCAGAAGTGGGTCAAAGTCGGCCTGTCCGGTAAGCCCGTTCGCCCCGCACCGGGACAGGTCTGCTTTTGAACGTGCCAGAGGGTTGGGCAGAAACGGAATCCAAGAAAGGGCGCCGAGTGTTTTGTGGATCGCGATAGTGCATAAAGACCGCCTGCTACTGCTCAATTAGCACCTGACTTTTTGCACGGAGTCCTTCTGAGGGTGTCGACAGTTCTTTTCAGAGAATATACGCATACAGATAACTCGGAGAGTAATAAACCCCAGAACTGCCTAGACGAATGCCTTGTACAATTTGTAGAGCAGTGAACACCCAATATTCTCGATCGCATAATCATACCTTGAGCTACTACTTCACCTCACTGTTACAATGTAACAACAAAATATGTGAAAGGCAGAAGTGAAAGCGCAAGTAGAAACCTTGCTGCATATTACCACTCACCGAGATATAATTAGTTGGTCACATCTACTCCCCAAAAAATAGTTTTACTTGGAAAAACCTTGGGAAAGACCATCGCTACATTGAACAAACACGCTTCTTCAGACCCGCAACCACAAGGGGAGATTTTTACTGCTTCTGGGGCAACTGGATGTTAGCACGCACATCACACATTCATTTCAGTGCAGTGTCCAAATTCGAGCTTGTAGCAAAAAAAATAAATAAATAAATAAATAAATAAACTAACAAAATGCGGAGAGAAATGCCCCGAAGTGAGAGAGGACAATGCAGTGAAAATAAAAACGGGAACTGAGAAGATGGGGGAACGGAGGAGGGAGCGGTCATGTGATCCGTGTTTTCACGTGACTGCACCCCGACGACGTGCATCATCTCCGGGGTCATCTGACCCCGGAGATGACGTCACTTCTCCTAGTTTTTCTCTCTGCTCTCGTGCTTTCCTACCGTCGGCGCGCCGCAAGGGGCGGGTCTATGTCAAAATTTTAATTGGCTATTACAGCGCTTGTACTAATAAGGTAGAAATAAAACTTTAGACAGAATTTTTAAGGTGTCTACGTTACAAATTTTACTGTTTGTTCGAATTCAAGGACCTTTTCAGCTTCCTTTTAAATGGGCTCTGCAATCATATTTAAGCATCTACCGTTTTTGCAGTTTCCACGTCTCTTGGGGTTCAAGCAAGCCAGTGCGCGGAGAAAGTAACTAAATATCAGTGCGTCATATTTTAACCGGACGACGCGGAAACCTCCTCCACCTACTGAGGCGACCCGCGATGCCGAAAGAGCACGATATGTGAAGTCTTTGGTGCTGGGCTTACTACTGGTCAGCCGCTAAAAGCTTCTTTTTAGTCGAAATACAAAATATAAGTGGCGCGAACCGTTTCAATTATTTATAAAAGTAGTTTTTGTTCACTATTTTAGATCAGAAAAGAAACAAATGCAGTTTAGAAAATACGTAAACAAGAAATGACCCGTCGACATACCCGCCACCGAGCGGTTGAAAAGGCGGCGCATACTGGAAAGATGTAGTGGGATCAAACACCGACATGCAATGCGAGTCGCCCTGGCTGCCCGCTTCATACAGCCTAGCCAGAACATGCTTTAGGGGTGCACTCTCGAGCCATCGACACGGAGCGCAGCAGCCATGACCGCTCGCTCAGCTCATTACCCCTCCTCTAGTTCACGGCCACTCAAGCAACCAAGGACGTCATGAAGGAGGTTATTTTTTCCTTGTTTTTCTAATTTTAATTTTCCTGTAACTTTTAAAATAGTGCAATATTTGAAAAAAGAAAAGTTTCATTCAAGGAGCTGTGCAACGATTTTAGCATTGAAAGAATTGGCAACTTCTGCTTTTGATATTGTTCACCTTGTCACAAAAGACAGAAAACACACCTCCTTTCATCGAAATGTTGCGATTCCGCCGCGTAATAGCAAGGCAAAGCTCAGAATATTCCCCGACCTGCAGCCGCGAGCGGCGGCCATGAGAAACACGCGGCGTGACGTCAATGGGGAACCTTGTAGAAAGATAGCAAGTTGTGCGAATACCTGCTCGATAAAAGGTAACTTTTCTATAAATCTTGTCATTCCAACATAAATATAAATGCGTTAAAGACCTGATATCATCGACAAAACTTTTATTAGACGGAGTTTTAGTGGCACCATCTATCCTAGGTCCACAAAACCGTCAGCTCTCTGCTACCGCGAACAGCCGCCAGAAGCCGGAGGAAGAGGGGGACAGGGCCGGACGAGTATGGCCGGACCCGAATGAGACTTATTTCCTTTCACCATATTGTTTGTGCGGCGCCCGCCAGCACGCGGTCGCGAGCGAATGAGTTCTCGCTGCTCACTGATGGCTCTAGAGAGAACTTTTCCGGAACCCCGCACCTACCCCATCAACGTCACTGCGCACGTGACCCGGAAGACGACGTACGAGTTGAGAGGCGGCAAAAACCTGGATCTTTCATTTTTTAAAATAAAAACTAGGGTATCCAGGCAAAATCTGTTTTCTGTAGTTCACTTCAGAAGTGTCAGGCATCAACTTCCACAATAATTTAAGCAAAGCCCTGAAATTGTTGCACAGCTCCTTTAAGTTACTACGTTCAGTGCACTCAGGTTCGGTGCAAATTAAAAACCAGTAAAAAAGTCCTTGCAGGGCCCCTTTAAGTTATGCAACACGCAGGCGTCGGTTATATTGAAAAGAAAAGGGAGTGTCTACATCCACGCGCGGGGATGTAGCCATGTCGGGAGGAGATAACGCTCCATCCACGCACTACGTCACTTCTGGCGCCCACGTCACTTTTTTGCGTGGACGGAAGCAGTTCTTTTTCCGTCTTCTCTCCGTCCACGCAGCAATCAACCTACGGTCTTATCTCCCATTGTTTTGCCTTGTGCTCGGTCGCCATTGCTCCTTGCGTTCCTGCCGTGCGCGGACTGCTGTTCCTGCCCGGTCTTCCCCAAGCAAGTTTATCTGAAGTGTTTTTTTTTGTTTTTTTTTCTTGGTCAAGAAAATTTTGTGTATTCACACGGTCGCACTTTTGATATGCCTCGAGTTTTGGTTGCCGGGGATTCGACGGTGAAATACTTGTCGTAGTATTTCACATCGAATAACCGGGTGGCTGTCGAAGTGCGGGTGTTTAGTAACATTAGGATCAAGGCTTTGCTTCTCAAAGTGTCTGACGCCCTGCTCGATTTTGGCACAAACAACACCAGCGTTTGTGCCTGCGCATACAAGTACCGTCGGCTGGCCGCTCAGATCTAGGAACGCAATCCGACGACGCAGATCGCTTTTTCTTCCGAGTTGGGAGATCAGGTTCTTTTCGTAGGAGTGTCAGCGTAGGCAGAGTGCAGTGATCCAGGCGTAGAATGATCGGCACAGAGAAGTGAACTGGCTCCTGCAGGAGTTCTGCCGCAAGAAGGGCCTCGTGTCCATCGGTGATCTCGTGGACGAGTGGCATCTGTGCATCGGCTACTGTTTCATTTGTCATGAAATAAACTGTTTCTGGAATCTTTTACCCAGTTTTCTCGATTGAATGCTCTCAATAGGTTTGTTATTACTGAGTCTAATGCATGCTTTCCCTTCTCGCACAATCTTTGTGAGATAGCGAGCGTGCGCGCAAGTCAAGAACATACGAAGCGTGTGCTCGCACTTGTCCCCTTCGATGCACATAAGCTCACACTACAACGCCTTAAACGAATTAAGCCAATCACATACACGGCGAAACCTCGCCGCCTCGCCTCAGCAGCGATGTGCACATGTGCGAAGGCCCCAGAGGCCGCAGCCGCGCCAAGCCAACCAAGCCCACACCACATGGCTGCAGGCTGCACGCCCACACGCACGGATGGCACGCACGCTGCCCACACGTGTGTGTGACTCCTGGACAGCATAAATATAAAAACATCTACGGATACTATTTTTATGACGCATGATATTTCCTATCGGTGTTACAAAACAGTGAAACATTGATAAATTGTCTAAGAATTTGTAAGGTCACGTGATATATTAACTTTAAAGCAACAATAAAAAGTAACCTCTTTATTTTTAGATCCTATATTTACTTGTAAGAAAGCATAATATGTAAATAAAAACAAATTATGTCCTTGAATTATAAGTCACGTGACCTTTTGCGTGGATGGAGCCTTATCTCCTCCCGACTTGGCTACGTCCTCGCGCGTGGATGTAGCCTCGGCCATTTCGGCCAAAAGAAAAAGGGTGAGAACTCGGTGAGTGCTGATGTAACAACTCTACTTTGCAGTAAAAATTTCTGAATAAAACTGCCGCTAATATTTATGGTAGACTGCAATGTTTTGGTGATAGCTTTCTAAAATTCTATAATTAGCTAGGGTACTTGCAAGTAACTTTATATGTACTTCTCTATAGGTTTATTCTTAATATTAACTATCTTGTTAAGTTACCATTTTTATATAGGTATTACGTGTTCGAGATACGGCGAATATAATGAATTAAAGCGAAATTATATGAAGGAGTGGAAGGAGGCTTGGGAATAAGCTGAACCAGTTTGGCTGCATTGTTTTTTTTTAAACAGTATAATTTATCATTCACACGCCGATTTTAGTTATGGAGTTCTATGTATAACACGTCATTTATGTAATAAGTTCAATTTGATTACAACCTTTAGAACTTTAATGAAACGTCAATTTGCGTTCTCAAGATTACTCTACCCTGACATTATTTTGGTAGAATATGCTATTCGGTTTACATTTTATTTTATACCTACAATAACTATTCGCAGCAGTCTATACTGTTTTTCATCAACCAGCACCTTGTTGCCACGCATATATATTGTTTCTGCACACAACGAAACAGCTATTTTTGTGTTTGAAGGAATCAAACTTGCCACCCTGTTGATGCAAACGAAAGGGTGTGCAGAAGTGGAAAGGTAAAGTAGGTAAGTACGTCTTCTACTTAAATAGGCCAGCACAAGAATCTTGACATATAATATTTGCGATGGTACAAATAAAAATGAAGCGTGCATGCTCTCCAGAAGTAATTTTTGCTGCTCCAAATGGAGTTTTGGCTGCTCCAAAAGGTGCTCCAAATTGATTGGGCCAATTACATCGCCGCTATGGTTTTAAGCACCAAGATGGCTGAAGTCTCGTGTGTCGGGGGGATCGGTGGCTGAGTGGTCTAGCGCACACCAGCTCGGAGCACATGGAGCGAAAGCTCGCACTGCAGAACCCAGGGATCCTGGGTTCGAGCCTCACCCCTGCCCGTTTCGATCTGGATGAGCATCGTACCGGCGTGCGGTCGTGTATCACTACTGCGTGATGCACGCTAAAGACCCCAGGCTAGCGGCTGTACCGCACTGGCTAAATTTCTCATCTACAGCTGGGAGACTCGTCGCCCCTGTGAGGCAGACCAAGTTCTAGGCTGTATAAACACACACACAACCCAATTTTTATTTTTTTTTCTCGTGTGTCCTGAATGTGCGACCTCCAGCACGCATTCGTTGCCTTCCGTCCCGCATCGGCTGCACTTGCAGGCTTGAGGTTCACAAGAAGCCCCTGCATTAGCGAAGGAAGCTCGTGAGCTTCGAGCTTCTTCGGCCCCCCGTTCTGAGCCTGTGGGTGGCTCGTCGTCTCGCAGGCGGCAGCCTGGTGGGCACGCTGGCGGGCGTGCTGCCCGGCGTTCGGACGGATTGGTCCCGGTGGCGCTTCTTCTTTTGCGACGAGCGGGTGGTGCCGTTTGACGACGCCGACAGCACGTATGGCTGCTACAAGGCGCAGCTGCTGCCCCTGCTGGGCCTCCAGGAGGAGCAGTTCGTGGTCATCGATCCTGCGCTCCCAGGTGAGCGTTCGGCCGGAGTGCCAACGCGGCCGGTCTGCGTAGCTTGCAACTCGCTTTCGCGTTCGCCTCGAACTTTGGTGCGAGAAAGATGCGCTCTGGTCGTTGTACCTCGGCAAAAGTCACTCGAGGGCATAGGTCGGCATTTTAGAGCCCCTTCATTCACCATCACATCACAAACAAAATCACGTCTCATAATTCATTCGCATTCACGTCACAAGGTACTCCGAACTCCCAAAGTCACGGTCCTTCACATCCCGGCATTCGACCGCGCCAAAACATTATCCCCTTCACATCACGGCTTTCAAACTCTGCCGAGAATTCATCCCCTTTAAATTTATTTATTCAAGTACCTTAAAGGCCCATTGCTGGAAATTACATAACGGGGGACTGTTCAAGTAAAAACACAAAGGATACATAAAAGATAATGCGTTCAGCCGCTCCAGGAATTTATCCCCATCACATCACCGCTGCCTTCGAATTCACGGAGTCATTCACCATCACATCACCAATTCACAAAGTCATTCACCATCACCACAAATGCATCGGAATTCACCATTGTGTATTCATTGGAATTCACCGTCACATCATGAATTCATCCGAATTCACCATCACTTCACGAATTCATCTGAATTTACGATCACTTCACGAAGTCATCCGAATTCACCATCACTCCACGAAGTCATCCGAATTCACAATCACTTCATGAATTCATCCGAATTCACCATCACATCACAAATTCATCCGAATTCACCATTACATCAGGAATTTTGCATAATTCACAGTCATTCAGGTTCATTCTGACTAAATTCGACTTCACGGCTGGTAGCCCTTCACGAGTTTGCAGTTCTTGCGGAATAAGACTGGCACCTTTTTGTGTCAGCCAGTTGAAACCAGGACCTGACTCCGTCAGGGAAGCAGCCACTTGAAACCAGGACCTGACTCCATCAGGAAAGTGGGGTATTTCGAGCAACGTTATTGGAGCAAGCTGCTCCACCTGCGACGTGGGCTCAGTGGCAGTCACGAGAACTAGCAGCGCCGTAGTCGAGTCTTACTTCCGGACTGTCTAGCCCGCCAAGTTTGAAAAGCAATATTAGAGCTTAGGCGGGTTGGTGATTCATACTAACACTTCAGAGTGCAGGAACACAGATGCACACAAAAATAAAATTTAAACACTCAAAGAAAGAACTTTCACATTGCACTGACTCTCAACTCTGTGGTGTATTACACTTCATCTTCATCTTTTTTTGCTATTATACACATAGAAGTAAAAAAAAAAAAAAAAAAAAAAACAAGGAAGAAAAGGAAACTGAAGAGGAGAAAGTAAAGGAGCAAAGAAAGGCACCAAGCTTTCAACGCGGTGGTAGCAAAAGACGCGCAAGACAGGGAAGTAAGTTCCAAGTGCAGCGCCGCTAGTTCTTGTGACCACCACCTGGCCCACTCGTCCCCGCAGGCGAGAATAGGGAGCTGCGAAATTGAGCTAGCTCCAGTAACATTGATTTCGAGTGCGTGAAATGCAAAGCGCATGATAACCCAGCCAGTGCCGGGCTGCGGTCGTGTCACGTGACTGTGCTCCGTGCACCGCCGCGTGGAACCGGCAGGTCACGTGATATGGTCTCGGTGCCGGATTATTTATTTATTTATTTATACATACCCTCAATGCCTCGGGGGCGTTATAGAGGGGAGTGGGTCAGTACAAGTGGTTTTGAAGGGCTAGTCGGAATTGCTTGGAGTCGGGTATGGTGACTATGGCGTCCGGGAGGTCATTCCAGTCCACAACTGCTTCAGGGATGAGGGAATGCTGGTGTGCTTCACTGGATGACTTGGGACGGGCGATCTTGCATGAATGGTCTAATCTTGATGATATGTAGGTGGGCGGGTTCAGAAGAGACATTTTCAAGAAAGGTGTTTAGAAGACTTTATGAAGAAGAGAAAGGCGGGAAATTTGACGGCGGGAGGAAAGTAGAGGAAGGTTAAGACGAGACTTCATTGATGACACACTTGAGGTACGAGAATAGTCATTAAAAATAAAGCGAGCAGCACGGTTCTGAACGGATTCAATGGCGTCTGTTAAATTTTTCTGATGAGGATGCCAGATGGAGGACGCATATTCTAATTTAGGCCTAACAATAGTGGTGTACAAAATACGTTTTAGGTTTTCAGGTGAGGATCTAAAGTTTCGGCGAATGTAGCCTAGAGAGCGGTTTGCTGAGGATATAATTGTTTTAATATGAGTATGCCATGATAGATTAGGTGTGAGATTCAAGCCTAAGTATTTGTATTGTTTGTATAATCAATGGGGACAGAGTTCAAAAGAAGTACAGGATAGGTGATTGACAATGAACGAGAAAAGCACATGCATTGACATTTGTTAGGATTTAAGGACATGCGCCATGTGTTACACCATTCAGAAATTTTATAAATGTCGCCTTGAAGCGTTACAGTATCATCTGTAGAGGTTATCTTACGATAGATTACACAATCATCGGCAAAAAGCCGCACAGTGGAAGAGATGTTGAGAGGGAGATCATTAATATATATTAGGAAGGGTAATGGGCCGAGTACTGTCCCCTGGGGGACACCAGAAGAAACAGAGCACAGGGAGGATTTGGTGTGGTTAGCATAAACAAACTGACGACGTTGAAGAAGGAATGATTCGATCCATTTTAGTATGTTAGGGTCAATTTTTAGCATAGAAAGTTTCAGCAGAAGGAGGTTATGTGGCACTTTGTCAAAGGCTTTGGCGAAATCCAGAAATACAGCACTAGTGGGGTAGCCGGAGTCAAGGTTTAGGTGAAGGTCATTAGTAAGAAATAGGAGCTGCGTTTCACAAGAAAAGTTGCGGCGGAAACCGTGCTGCGCGTTGCTAAAAAAGGAGTTGTTTTCGAGGAAATCAAACAGATGCGTGAAAATGATATGCTCCATGATCTTAGATGGGATGCAAGTAAGAGATATAGGCCTGTAGTTGAGGGGAGAAGACTTACTGCCGCTTTTGTGGACCGGAATGACCTTGCCGATTTTCCAGTCCCCAGGCACCACCCCCGACTCCAAAGACTGCTGAAATATCTTGGTTAGAAATAAACTACAAGACAGGCTAGTGTTACGTAATATTTTAGTGTTTATATTGTCAACCCCAGAGGACGACGAGACCTTTAATGAGTTAATAATTTGAGATACACCATTAAATTCTACAAAAACAGGGTCCATTGGAAAATAATCAGCAGGAACGTGACCAGGTAAAAAGTCGGTAGAAATAGGTGTAAACACATTGCAAAAAACATCATTAAACATAGCTGCACACTGATCATCTGGCACAACTTCACCCGAGCCGTTAAAAATCTTTGGTAAAGTGTGGTCTTTTGAGTTAACAATACTCCAGAAACGACGAGGGTTGTTAAGTAATATTGAAGGGAGCGTCTGCTGAGAGTACATGCTTTTGCACTCTTGCAGTTTCATTTTGTAGTTATGTTGACAATTTTTATATTTGGACCATGACTCAGGAGTATCATCACGCTTAGCAGCACGGAAAAACCTTTTCTTTTTGTTACAGAGAGACCTAAGCTGTCGATTGAACCATGGTTTCGCCGAGGAAGGCCTGAGGTATTTGAATGGGATATGAATGTTAACAAGTTCATCTAACTTGTTTTTAAATAAGTTCCAATTCTCGTTAACATCTCGAGAATCAAAATTATTTAAGAAAAAAGAGAAATAGTCACACAACGCTCGGTTTATTTCTTCGTAATTCCCTTTGTCGTATAGCAATATTTTCTTTCCTGAACGAACAATTTTTGCAGTTTCAACTTTTATGTAAGAATGAATTGATCTGTGGTCACCGATGCCGTCCAAGAATACCAAAGGCGTTGGAAATAATTCAGGGTGAGAAGTAAGAACAAGATCTAAAATGTTTGAACAGGAATGAGAGACTCGCGTAGGAAGGGAAACTATCTGAGAAAGATTGAAATCTAAAACGACGTCAATAAATTGTTGACAAACACTGGAGTTTTTAGAGCAGACAGGAGTTGGGTCGTTCCAATTAATGCACGGAAAGTTAAAATCGACAAATAAAAGTATGGGATAGGTTGGATATTCTTTTGAAAGTAATGACAATTCATCGTGAAGAAGGCTTGAGAACGAGTGTGACGCGTCAGGAGGACGGTAACAAACACCAACCAAGACAGACCTAAAACTGCATTGTAAGCAGACCCAAACTATTTCAAGCTGTGAATGATTAGAAACAACTCTGCTAGGTATCTTTTTATCTACGGCTATAAGAACGCCACCACCGCGTCGTTGCTGTCGATCGAGACGATAGATAATGAAATTAGGGTGATCAGGCAGTACTTCACTATCAGTGACTTGAGGAGTTAACCACGTCTCGGTCAGCAAGATTATTTTGGCGCTGCAAGACGAGATAATGGTACTTAGCTCATCACATTTAGATAGAACGCTTCGAGCATTGGCATATAAAAAACTGATGCCCTCATACGAGCCTAATCTGCTGTTTCGAACACTCCCCGCCTTGCGCTATCGCTGAAGTTCAGTTACTAACTTAGAATGGTGGTCGTAGGTATATGTCTTTGGACCGATCAAAAGTTTATCGAAGCGTAGTTTGAATGGGGAAGTTTGTTGTTTGGCATATACGAGCAACGCCTTCCTTGCGGTGCGAACAGTTGGTGAATAATCCTCAGATAATGAAAAGGGTGTACCTTTTAGTTTCGAGGCGGAAAAAAGTAGCTGGTTTTTCATTTTGAAAGACAAGAATTTCACAATGATGGGCCTTGTTTTCCCTTGACGGAAAGCACCAAGGCGGTGCGCACGCTCAACATGCGAGCTATCAACTGCGACGCCCAAGTTGCCCTTCGCAAGGTCGAGTGCTTTCTGTTCAGAAATTTGTTGAGACTCGCTAGGAGCATCAGGGATACCGTAAAACAACAAGTTTGAACGACGCGAACGGTTCTCTAAGTCGTCTATGCGAGCAAGCAAGGTTGATGTTGCAGCACTCT